GGGTGGGGAGCTGTGTGAATGCGCTGTCTGGGGTGGCTGAGCCTTACTTAAGGAGGGGCTGACACGGAGGCAGGCACCTTTCCTGTTGCCAAGCATAATATCGAATGTGCCTTAACGCCGGCTCACCCCCGACTGGTGCGTGACGTCTGAAGCTGCGTGGTGTGATTCCCTGCAATCCCCACCAGGTGCCGTTTGTCGTCGTCTTCACCAAAGTCGATCACAAGAAGAAGAGCGGCCCCACCCCGTCCCAGAACATGGCAGCTTTCAAGAAGGCACTGCTGGAGGTGTGCAGTGGTGCACAGCTGGGACCGCTCAGCACCACTCTTGTCAGGGAGCCATGGGGCCTGTGGCACAGCGGGTCAATCCCGGTCCCCCTGTCTCCTTGCCTGCCTGCTGGTTCCTGAGTTCCTCAATCACACACACTTCAAGCGCATATATCTTCCCCGTGTGCGCGCATGCACGCACACACGCGTGCACACACACACACACACACACACACACGCACGCACGCACACACACACACACGCACACAAACGCACATGCTGCCTGACCCTGCTGTGTCAAGCGCAGGAGTGGGAAGCGCTGCCGGCCTGCTTTGCCACGAGCTCCAAGGAGGGCAAGGGCCGCAACGAGGTGCTCGGCCACCTGGCGAGCCTCAGGGCCTTGGACCAGGCAGAGGGGGGATGAGCGGTTTGGTACCGTGAGAGAGACGCACTGCTGTAACGTGGCTTTTTCTAGTCGTGGTGATAACAAGCTGTGCGTGTGGACGTATGGGACTATGGGGGGTTCGTCTCCTGGCAAGGGTTGCTGATTAGGCCGGAAAGGGGTGAGGTGCGTGGACGTGAGCCTTTTGCGCCATGGGTTTGGGCACGACTGTGTTGCAGAAGGTACACGGCGGATGCAGGCGGGTGGTTGGATGAGGGCCGGGTGGTGGTTGTGTGCGGCACGACGTGCAGCAGCAGCGTGCGCCGTGCACAAGCCCGGATGTGAGGACCAATCTGACGCATGTGTCAATCTTCATTTGCGCCTTTGCAAGATTGCCCATGACAGATGCTTCGTGGCGCAACACTCGCAGCCCCCGCTGTATGCTTTCGATGACGATGGCGGGCCACCCCAACTGCACCAGGCTGGGGTGGGGGTTCAGCCCCGCAGCGACGGGCATCGGCGTGATAAAAAGAACAAAAAATCTTCTATTCCGCGCTAGGGCAGCAGGAACACGGCGACCGCGCGATCCCTCGCCCTCATGATCGCCAGCCTCCCGTGCGTGCTCGTCTTTACCTTCGTGCACCAATCCAATACGCAATCGTTCACTCTTCTTGCTATTGTAGCATAGCCCATTGACCTTTTGATTGCCCACTGCTCACGAGCCACACACCGCGCCAATCGCTATGCTCGCTAAGATGCAGCTCCAGCGGCCTGCCGGCATCACAAGGCCTCTGGCCCGTGCCACTGTATCGGTCCATGCTGTCGCGCGTCCCAGCCGCGCTGCGAGCACCGTCGCGCCCGCGACACCCGCCACCCCGGCGCTGTCCCTGCCCCTCGCCGCGTTTGCGGCCGCCGCGGCCCCGCTGCTGCTGGCCGCCGAGCCCGCCTTTGCCACCGGCGGCGCATTTGGCATCCTGGAGGGTCGCACCGCGGCGCTGGTGCACCCGGCGGTTATGGCGATCCTGTTTGGCACAACCCTCTACGCCGGGTACCTCGGCCTGCAGTGGCGCCGCGTGCGCACCATCGGCGACGACATCAAGGGGCTGAAGGCGCAGCTGCCCAAGCCCGTGGAGGGCGCTGAGGCCGCGCCGCCGTCGCCGATTGCCGAGCAGGTTGCCGTCCTGGAGAAGGTGCGGCTTGGGCCTCTCTATGGAGGGCGGCTGTGTTTGAGGGGGGGCGGGGTCGGGGAGGGGCAGTTGCAGGCGTCGCCAGGGTTGCGATGCTTTCTGCACGATCGGCCGCCACCGCCGCAGCTGCCCTGGGGTCTAGTGTGAGCGAGCTGCGCTTTTGTCAATGAAACCATGGTGCTGCTTGCTGTGGGTGTCAGCATGTGGTGTGGGAGTGAAGAGGCGAAGGACAGCAAATTGGCACGATAGGCTGGGTCACCTCGGGGGCGCCCTGCTGTCCACCCCCATTCTAGTGTTGGACAGAAGGCAGGCGCGGCCGGTCCACGTGGACCACGGATGAACCACACCACTCACACCGCCAACAACGCAAATACTTCAATCCCACCTCAACACTCGCGTTGTTCGTCGCCGGCCATGCCCATCAAGCAGTCTTCCTCACCACACCGAACCCAGCACCGACACCTTCCAACACCACCTGCACCACACCCACATCGCATCCAGTTCCCCTTCAAACCTCACCCCACCCCCACCCCCAACCACCCCCTTCAGGAGCGCAAGGAGCTGGTGGCCGGCGGCTTCAAGGACAAGCACAACGCCGCGGGCAACGTCCTACTTGCCTTCGGCGTGGCCATCGCCGTCGAGGGCTGCGTCAACACCTGGATGCGCACCGGCAAGCTGTTCCCCGGCCCCCACCTGTTCGCCGGCGCCGGCATCGTGGTGCTCTGGGCGCTCGCGGCCTCGCTGGTGCCGGCGATGCAGAAGGGCAACGACAACGCGCGCAGCGCGCACATCGCGCTCAACACGCTCAACGTCGCCCTGTTCGCCTGGCAGGTGAGGTCCTGGCGCCGCGCGCAGTGCAGGGCGTAGGGGGGCAGCACGGGCTTCGTTGGTGGGCCTAAGTGCGGGGGTAGGGGGTCGGTTAGGGGTAAGACTAGGGAAAGGGTCACCGCTTGTCGCTGCCCTGCTTGACGAGGACACTGCGCCTTCCAACCTGCTGACACCCTTCCCTGTATGGCTCACCCTGTTCTGTGCTGAATTGGCAAACCAAAGCTGCCCACGGGGCTGGACATCGTCTTCAAGGTCTTCCAGTGAGTGCAGTTTGGTCCTCTGGATTGCCCAGATCTGGGTGGCAGGGTGGGCCGTACAAGAATGCGAGGCAAACCATCCATCACTCATCCAGGCCTGCAATTCATCACTTCACATGTTGACGGGAGTTGTCATCGTGGACGTCTCCTGACCCAAAGCCAGCCCGACCTGCCACACCTAACACACCTGACCCTTGCCCCACCCCTGGCCACAGGTTCACCAGCTGGCCTTGAAGCCCCCAGAGCCCAACCTCATATTGGATCCAAGAAAACGAATGCAGCTGGGCAATGGGCACATTGCCCATTGCCCAGCGGTTTTGACGAGCGGCGAGGGAAGCGACGTATGCAGATGTCGCCGAGCTTGTCTGGGCCATTCTCAGACTTGTATATGCTTGTAAATGCCCTGAATCAAGTCTGGATGGGGGCCGACTTTCTGTGTGCTCTTTTGGGGGGGGGGGGGGGTTGATGTGGATGTGGATGTCTGTGGCAACGCGGTGCAGTCTGCTGTAGCAGAAAGGCCGTTGCGACGCCATGTTCGCGCAGTCGCCAACAGCGACGGCGGCAAGGCATCAGAGAGCCCTACGGAAGCAGGTTGGCAGAGGTCTCGCGAACCAGCGGGCATGTGCAGTCATAAACCCTACGTCGCACCCAGCAAGGTCGGTCTTGCGCAGGGCCAACTTGCGGTGCACGTCAAGGGGGCCGTGAATCGCACTCCGCGTTGCAGACGTCGGCACCAAACACAGAGGCATTCATGCAGGGAGAGTTTCTGCATAGGAACGCCAAGCAGTCGCCGCAATACCGCCAGGGCAGCCGTCAGGGGGTCTTTGTTATGATATTTGGCCATGTCAGTGACATAAGTGCACCAGCTGCGGCTTTGCTGCTGCGTTGCGACATGCAACTGCTGTGAAATAGGTTCCACCTGTTGAGGCGCCTGATCAGCCGCCCAGCTGCAAGTGCGCGAGCACCTCGAGCACAGGTGGCAGCGCCCCCTTACTTTCAAAGCCCCTGCCCCCGGTCCAGAGCTGGCGCTTCGTCCAGCCCTGAGCTGGAGCGCTGGCACGAGGTGGGCGATGTTGACATGCAGATTTGCTGTGTCCCAGCTTGAGCCATGGAGGGCGAAAAAGCGGTCGTACGACCCTGCTCAAGCCCCTCCATTGCTGGGTACACAGGCCCTCAAAACATCTTACGGAATGTTTCGCTGCCAGGTAATGTTGAGCGAGCACGTGGGCTGATGGTCATGGCCGTGCTGGACTTGGACCATATCAATACTGTGTGGCAGTTTTTTTTACAAACAAACGCCTTGGTCACAATTCCAAAGCTGCCATGGGCAGGGCAAAATGGGCAACACTGCACCAAAACACAAACAGCACCTGCTGGGGCCCATGCAGGCAGCAAGCGCGCCGCGCCCCTCAGGTGCCGTACTTGTGGCGCAGCAGCGGCGGCGGCAGCGCGGCCAGCACCTCCTCCCAGGGCCGCTCCACCAGCAGCGCCGCGCGCGGCCCCGTGTACCCCAGGAACAGGCAGGGGCTGTCCAGTGGCAGCACGCGCCCGTTCAGACCCGCCGCCGACGCGCGCTCCCCGGGCCGCGGCTTGGCCGGCCCGCGGCGGCGCTTGCCGGACAGCGCGTCGGCGGAGAGCGGCGCGGCCATGTCGACGTGGCAGATGCCGCCAGCTGACCGCACCAGCAGGCTCAGCGGCGCCGCGGCCCCGGCCGCGGCCGTGCTGTCCCCCGCCGCGGCGCCCGCCGCGGCCGGCTCGAAGGAAAGGCCCTCGATCGTGCCGGGCAGCAGGGCAAGCAGCTTCGACAGCTGCGCCCAGTGGTCGGCGCTCCAGGGCGTCGGCGCGCGTGTGGCGACCGAGTAGGCGGCCAGCAGGTCGGCCGCGGTGGCCACCGCGACGGCCGCGCTGTCAGGGCTGAAGGCGATGGCTGTGACAGGCGCCGCGTCGGCCGCGCCGGCGTCGCCGAGCAACAGCAGCGGGCCGGCCGGCGCGAGGCCGCCGCCAGGCAGCAGCTCGACCAGCCGGACGCCCGCGCCGCACGCGGCCGCGAGCCAGCGGCCGTCGGGAGAGGCGGCCAGGGCGCTGACCGGCGGCTGCGCCGCGGCGGCGGCGCTGCAGGCCGCGCGCGCCGCGC